ATGCGGCTATTATCATTATCCGTAGATAGCACGGCGAGTTATCCAGAATGCTAGCCAGTGATGATGATGATTGGTGATTTTTTTTGTTATTTGTTTTTGTCTCGTCTACGTTTCGCGTCATCTGCAGAATTTGTACCCCGACCCCCTCGAAATTATGTCAAGCAGGAGAAAGCATTGGGAGAACCGACGTCTTGGCAACGACTTTTGCGTGCCGTGATGGTCTGCTTTGCTGGCTTGGCACGTCGAGATGAAGGCAAAGATGGAAAGCGAAGTTGGTGTTGAAGTTGATCAGAATTTACTGCCAAGACTCTAACCCAAGCGTGGCACGCGCGCGGTATTGCAATGCCGGTCGGTACACAGGCATACCTACAAGCATACAGGCACAGGCACACAGGCACGATGAGGTCTCACCATTATCCATTCCCTCCCAAATGAATGTGGATGAGACATGCATAGCAAACGAGTCCAAGTCCCATGGTCCTCAAGTCCCCGATTCAGGACCCAAGACTCCAGAACCCAAGGTGATAAGGTCAGAGGGAGCGTTTGGATGCGGTGTAGTGCGGATATACTACAACATACAAACCCGCTTTGGAAGCTTGGCACAGTCGGGGTCCTTGTCAAGTTGGGCCGCTAGTGCGAACTCCAGATTGTGAGATCGCAGCTCTTCTGGTGCCAAACACTGGTTTCCCTTTTCTTTTTCGGATAGTGGTGTGAATGGATGGGGGTTGGTGTGCTGCGTGGGGAGCAAAGTGGTGCGTGGGCGGGACCTTGAACATGCGTGGGCGTCGTATGGGCGTAGTGTACATCTTTGCCTTCATCGGACACACTCCCACCCCCTTCTCTCGCTCTCTTTTTCTCTCTCTCGTTCTCTCTCGTTACGAATACCTACCAGCTGCCTACCCAGTCAGCTAGTGTACCTACCCTGTATAGATGCACCATACAGAGAGTACATTTGGAGCACAAAGTACGCAGGCAGTCAGTATTCATTATCAGTCTCTGTGTATCCTATGGAAGCGTATCTGTGTAGGGCATCTCTCTCTTTCTCTCTTATCACTGGCCGGCTGTTCATGTGGAGGATAACTCCATCTTCTCTCCATCTACTCCCCTGCTCACCATATACCTACGCCCTCGCCGGGCAGTCCACCTATTCACTAGCTCACATGCTTCTTAATTCCTTTCTTCTGCCATCCATAGAGCCTAGTAAGGGAAGGGAGAGAAGAGGAAAGGGTCAATATGCATGGAGGGTCCTTATTGGCAGTGACAGGGCCACAGCACTGACATAACATGGCCCGCCTAATTTCTCTTATTCCATCTTTTTCTTTTTGTTCCACATCCAGCCTACGGAGTTGTTACCTCCCACTCTTTTGATCATGTCATCCACAAGCCTCGTGAGCCACATGTGTCGCTGACGTCGCTCTGCGTGCGAAGCACCAGATCGTTGCCGCCTTTGGGCTCGTTTCCTTTCCTTAGCTTGGGGCTATGGTATGGAGTCCCCGTCCAAACGTTTTGGCGGATATTTCTGCTCGGGGAGATGGTGGAGCAGCGATCAACTCTTTTGCCGGAACCACGACATGGGCTTGATTGGTTCAAAGATGGGATAACTCGGTTGGGTACGAAGTATAGATGCTGAAGAAAAGATGGTGGGCAAAGTTAGGTTGAGTTGCCTCCCGGAATCCCAGCCTTCTACCATGCCACAGTACTCCGTACAGTCACCAGGAAGAGGAGGGATGTGCAACTGCAAGCAGATGAACGGCCGAGATGGAGGAGAAGAGAGGACAGAGAAGGGGGTCCGGCGCCGGGATGCGGACTTGTCACGGCCGCATGCACCGGCACCATCCACCACCCCCTTACTGTTGGTCTTTGCCATTTGGTGTGTCTGAACTTCTAGAGTTACAAGTGTCGTCCCTTTTGGTTCCCTTGGCTAGCAATGCTATTATCCGGCGCGCGGTTATGTATGCTAAGAAGTGTCATCTAGTTGCAGTGGGACAACGTACGTGATGGGGTCGCATCACTGTAACCACCTCACGCTACCCGACTGCTCCCTAGCCGGCCAAGGACTTCCTGAAAGTTGAGCAATGTGACATGGTGCCTCTACCCAACCCACTCATACCGGATGGGCCGAGTTTCTTTCTGGGGGGCTCGGGGGACCTTTGCCTGTCTGCCCGGACAGATATTACGTGAACCAACGAGATTGAGCCAGGGGGACCAAAGTATGGAGACAAACATTCTGACTCTTACTAGCAAGAGAGGTACATACCAGTGTCAAGACTCGAGAGTCAATAGATGGACTAAGGGGAGGAGGCGATGATGGCGAGATGGGATCAAAACCAATTCATCGGACAGGGTCTAGGGCACCGGGGACCAAACGTTTCAACTCTGCTGTGATGAAAAACGAAAGACGCTATACCATTAAGGGGGGAGGGAGAGAAGCCAAGCAAGTTGCAGGCAAGCCGCAAATTGGAATAGGAGCAAAAAATAGACATTTTAGTCTATTTTGCGGCGGGTGGGAAGAGCATGGGAATTTCTCTGATCTGATCTACGGATCCCTTGGACTCTGGAGACTGGAGACTGGACACTACACAAGGAACCAGGGCAAGCCCGCAAGGCAGGCCGCAGGCCTCAATCCTGGAACCAGACAAAGAGGCGGAGACGGGCACTTTTGTCGTTGATCTAATTACCTGCACCCCGCCAACTACTACACGGCAATTTCTGTGCTACAGCGGCCCCGGCGAAGACCATGGGGAAACATCTCACTCAACGGGCGTACAGGGACAGGGGCGGCATGGCGGAGACATACGTAGAATGATGAAGTACTGAGTATCCGTATTCTTTTCCTATGAACAAAAAAGGTACGGAGTACGGAGTGCTTCTCGTCACTTTTGAGTATGCGTGATGGGCCTCCTTGGCTCCCGTCTCTGCAGACTGCAGCTGCTTCGCCGCCATGCTGTTAAGCTTCCAGTCCTCCCGCTTCCACGCAGCCAAGTAGCGCGCCACTTCCGAATCATCTACACAGTAGGGGCCCAGAGAGCTGCACCGGGATTGACATTGGTTCTTACCAGCCTGGCCGCTGCTTTTGGTGTAAGCCGCGGCGGCTTCGGGCCCAGGGGAATGGTTGAAGTCTGAACCAGGGCAAGGGGGTGCCAGTGGGGGTCCGGTCATTGTGAGCGAGGTCGGAATTGTGGGAGTTAATCTTTGTCCGTCATAAATCTTCTCCTGTGTTTTCTATACGGGTAGCTAGGCATGTTGATGAGTGATCAACAAGTATGCAGATGGCGAAGTCGATCGAGGTGCAACCGCTGCCTCATCGCCTAATCTTGCTAGCTGGGAGTTGAGTGTGCGCTTGCTGCAAACCCTTGGCCCGTCATTCCCAGGGGCCAAGTACCCAAGATTGACCAACTTCGCCAAATACTTCCCTGTCTTATTCATGAGACGCGCTTTTTGCTCGCGTTCCTCTACTAGATCTTGTTGCGGTTTAGCCCCGGTCATGCTAAGAGAGAATGTGGGCAAGACGAGGCGCCAAAAAGCCAAGCCCAAACTTCTCAACCTCCTCGAGTGCCAAGATGGAGTTGGAGCTATGGACACACATATGCGTAGGTACACAACTTAGCGAGGCGATATCGCGCTTGTCTTAGCTTTGGTGGAAAGACACCACCTTCCGTGTGGCGTAGGCTCATGTACCTACCGCAACGTCAGGCTGGCGGGCGGGAGGGGTCCCGAAGTCCATGCAACACTGCCGCAGACTAGGCGATATAGATCATGGCGGGGAGTTAGGGTGGCGACGGATAGACAAGCATAGAGAAAGTCCATTGGACCGTGGGCCTTAGCCATCCCAATGACGACGAACAGACGAAGCGGTGGCTTGCTCGCGCTCCTAACTAGCAGCCGCATAAGCATTATCGTATCATTTCCACAGGTCTAGCGTCTTCGGGGGGGGGGGGCGCTTCTCAAGTAAGAGGCGCGCCAAGATATATCTTGGCACAATGACTTTTTTTGTGGCACGTGTACGCATATGCGGCAAACAAAATGATTGATTTCTGAGGAGAGAGGGCTTGGGATTTTGGGTGATGAGGAAAAGAGGACTTGGCAAGTTGGCAAGTTGGCAGAGAGAGGCTTGGGTCTTGGCAGAAACCTGCTCACTATCATCATGCGCCTCGCTATCGCGAGTATCCGTACCCATACCCGACTTGTCTACTCTCGCTCCGCCACGCCTGAGGGGCTAGATCTCGCATCACACGACACCACGTAGGATCACCTTGATGGCGAGCCAAGAAAAAGAATTGATAGATCATGGTTCGGGAAGTGAGGGGGAAATGGCTTGGGAGGATACCAAGGGCTGGGGAGGGGTGGTGACTGAAGGTGGTGGTCATTCGGCGCCGGCGGCTGTGCCGGCACCGGCCTTCCGGAAGCCCGGCGGGCAGACGTAACAGTCCGTCCGGAAGGTGGAGGCGGAGGGAGAGATGAGCAAGCGACGTGGGAAGACCGGCAAGCGAGACACTCGACCTGATACTGTCACGATACCAACGGGGCTGGGCGGGGTGTGACGATGACGAAGGGCCAATACTAGGGAAGGGAGGGGAAGGGGGAGAGCATGTGTTCATGACCAGCCAAGTCCACGCCAAGCTGTTTGATGCCAAGCTTGGTGATGAATGCCAGAGTCGAGACTCAATGGCCACGGCCAGACAAGAAGACGTTGCCAGACTGCTGACGATGTGCGACGAGGGTTCGACACCTTGTTGCTCCTTTACGCTAGTCTAGACTGCTCCTCTCATATGGCTATCCGTACTTAGACGTGTTCGACGATTCCATGGTGTTATTAGTGACGGTCCCTTTGTTTCTGAGCGTGACAAATTTGACAAGACCCCTCCCCCATGTCCCACGCCAAGATAAATCGCGGCACGGCGGCAAGTTTAAGATGGCTTGGATCTTTTCCGCACCCGTTGCTGCCGCCCGCCGCCGTCAGTTTGCGGTGAAGGCCATGTGCAGGGCCCATATCAAGGTTGTTACAAGGCGCGGCGACCGCGGCCGCGGTCACGGCGGCTGTTGCTTGCTCGCCTGGCTCTGGCGACGTTGCGGGCGGGAGCTGGGATCAAGGGATTAATATGGCAGTGGTGCGAATGGCAGACCAGGCTGTCTGCGGGGATCCAAGTCACTTGACTACAGCTATATATGATGAGAGACGGGGGTATCCCCATCTCTGGGACGGTCGATTCCCTCATGTTTGAATATGTGCCAAGAGCTTCACCCCTGGTCACTCAGTGCCCCCCCCTGGCTGATCTGACATACCTTGTCTTGGCCTCTGTTGAGCGCAGATACCCTCGAGAGTCGGGACTGACTGATATAGCAAAAAAGAGGGAACGATGAGGGGCCACAATTCAAATTGGAGACAGGGGACGTGAGAGAGAAACCGAGATGGGTCGTGACAGGCAGGGAATCTGGATAGCACCGTGACTGGGGTGAAAAGAGGAAAGGGCAGGAAATAAGTCAAGCGGAGAAGGGCAGACAGGCCGACAGACCGCCTGTGAGGCTGTGAAAATATCGGTGAGGTGAGCTGTGTGCAAAAGACGAGGAAACATGAGAAACATCTACGCGTTGTGAGGTGTCGTGGAGCGAGGCTCATCACCGCCGACATTAGAAATGATCCAAGCCGGCCGGCGATTCTCATAAGCAAGTAGTGCCGCACGGCGAACGTACCGGTCACACATTTGCGTCTTCCCCTTGTGGCCCGGACGGTCTACGGAGTAAGGTGGACCGTGACAGCCCCTCGGGACACGCTTACACCGTGGTCGGGGTCCAAACAGAGCCTCTCTTCTGACAATAGAGAAAGATAGGCCGATGACATACTCTCATCTGTCGTACGGAGAGTTAAGAGGGGCCGTCATTGGCCCATACGGGATCCTGGTCAGACAGGTTGGTGAGGTGCCGGGCCACTGTGGGTAAGACAAGGGGCAAGAAGCTACCGGTAGGCTGAGCCAGACATTCGGACACTCTGTTGTTCTCTCCAGCCTCCAGCATGTGGAAGCGCTGTGTGTGTAACCGTATGTATCACAGTACTCGTTCACAGTGATAGTGCCTTGTCCCCCTCCTTGGGACAGCTAAAGTCGGGTAAGACAAGACCAGCAAGATGGTAATACACTGACTGTATCTTGAAACCACCACTCGACAGGAGTCCAATGGGGTCAAGGCTACGCGCCGGATTTGGCTGAAACCATCTTTCTCTATCACACAGTCCAGAACCCCCATCTTTCCCCCAGCTGCGCGTAGGTATCTGTGCCGTGCTCGAGCTGCAGTCTAACGTGGCACAGCAGTCAAGACTCCTCCCGTGGAGCAGGCTAGGTGCGACACTGGAAGGCTTAACGTGACAACAATGCATCGGGTCTAGATGGAGAAATTCGCTGTGCCCACGCCATCGTCGTGTTACTCTACAGTGAACTGCGAAACCACGACACGTCAAACATTTACCATGCAGGCCAAAGGTCTGCAGCCGCACTAGCATTTCGGCCGGTTCGGTTCTGGCCGTCATTCCATTCTTGTTTGGTTTTGTTTTAGCTCAGGTTTTCGACATCTCCTAGACCAATGGCAACAGATGCGTGACCTTGGACGTGTACACCATGTCTTTCAAGGCTTGGATCTGTGCCATCAGTGAGTACAACGTCTCCAAGCTCCGAGTCGGAGGTAGGTAGTTCGGTCGACTTCAGTCTAGCTCAATCTGGACATAGCCAGCAAAGAACTGTAGCTGATGCGCTACCTTAGCGTACCGGGATAGGGCAACCAAGAAAAGGAGGCCAAGGATAGGTGTTAAGGACTTGAGAAGTTGAGATGGAGTGATGGTATCCGCACACTACTCCGTACGGATAGTATTGTATGCAAAGTGTCCGTAGATGACGGAGTTCTTGGGTGTTACGGACGTGCCTCCGCGAGTCGTGATCAGGTTGGCTGGGAGCCCTGCCTACCTGGCGGGAATCATCGGAAACGTCGCCGTTGCCCATCATCGCGACAGGACCAGGCCAAGCGAGCTCGGGGAACAAGTGCGACACAGAGTGACAAGGCGTCATGGGCGGGGTAGGGGACGTGAGGCATTCGACGAGGCTACAAGGCATATGTCGGCGGGGAGCTTGCTAATGGGGAGCGGGGAGCTCAGCGAGCGGGCGGGCGCATGAGAGATGGCCAAGACGAATGTGAGGCCGGTGAAGTGGGCATGGGTGGCCCAGCAGGATGGGACGAGAGGGGAGCATGGGGTATCTTCGCTCTTGTGCTTTTTCCGTCCGTCTCTTGTTGATCACTTGTGGGTGTATCGGACTCTGAAAGGGTATGGCCATGCGCTCGATGGCATCCCTAGTGTAACAGGGAAAGCTGAAGGGCCATCCCGTTCATTCTCTGGCTTTCTTTCTCTCCGCCTTCTCTGGCCCATCTCACCCATCTCCCTATGTCGGCCCTGTCGTCTCGACTCTCTCAACTCTCTCGTGCCGACATCCTTTGGCCCCATTTCGCCTCAACCCTTCTCGGCCCCCTCATCTGTGAGAAACCCGGAAGAGACCCGGAGGGAAGATCAAAGTAAGGGTGAAAAGACCATGACAAGAAGGGCGTCATGGCCTGTCGATGTCGATATGGGAATAAGACGGTTGAGCTGGAGCATCAGCGTTCACTTAGCTAGGGCGGTTGGGTGAACGAGTCTAGCGTCGAACACACGGCTGCTCGGACACGACAAAGCAGTGTCGCCGGACCACTGGCGTTGCGACCGCTTCGCGGAGGCCCGCGGAGTGCGGGAGCCCCGCGTCCGCCTCAGGCCTGCTAACTTGCCTGCCCAGTGCATTTGTATGTACGTAGTCAACCGCAATCCGCCATCCATGTCTGGGATCTGGGTACTGTGAGAATCCGCTTTGGTGTCCCAACTCCCATCTGTTCAAAAGGCCCTTACCACGTGAGGCGGACCAAGGCCAGACAACAAGGCGAGCGGTCAAGTACCCAGAACCGTGCTCGGGCCCTTTCTAGGCTCATCAGGCTATGACACCACTAGACGCGAGATTTTGTTAAATAACGATACAGAATCAGGCCACTCGTACACAAGGCGGGCAGACAAACCACACCCCCAGACACTAGTCGACTCCAGTGTGAGATGCGTCGCGCCCGCTCAAGGATACCAATGTAGTAATCCAAGGGCCAAGACTGAGAGCAGAGCGAAGAGGAAATGGCATGTCCAAGGATCAAGAATAAGACTCGTGGGGCGTAGGGATTCCGCCGCGGACGCACGCAGGCTATCGTCAGTGTCTGTTGTGGATGATTTCCTGTTTGTTGACTAAGCGGATGCTGTTTACATCCGTACTTCATCCTCATCGTCTTTCCGGGGCTGAGCTAAGAACCCCAGCCTCGTTTACTTGGCGGCGGGCGTGAGTGAGGCCTGCCCGGAGTGAGACTGAGTTGGCCAAATTGGGGTAGTACACTCATACTGAAGTCGCAATTGAGGATACTGCTCATTTGCCTGCAGATTCTCGATCAACGTAGGACCGGCCATGGGGTTTGAATTGGAGTAGGTACTGTGGTACCCAATGGAGTCTGAAGATGAACAATGACCCCAGCGCATTCACTGAGACAGGCGTGGAGCTCTAGCCCCAACAGCAAGACTCAACAGCCGGTGCCGTCATCAGAATTGAATTTGCAGGACAGAGTGCCGGTTCGGCATCCCAGGCACGCTTCCGGTAGGTCGGGAACCGAGGCGATTGGCGGCCTTGTTTGGCTTCTTCGTCGCTTGTGTGAACGATTGGTCGGTTCAAGTCAGGATGATATCGCCGATGGCCGATGGCCAATGGTGGTCCAGTCTCTGCATATCATGAGCCCTTGATCAAAGTCCGGCCGGCCGAGTCTCTATTGTTGCCCACGGACATCGGGCTTTGATTACTGCATTGGTCCGTGTGAGTAGTGAACCTGAAGGCCGTCGGTGAGGTGGTCAGGCAAGGTAGGTGTGGTAAGGTTGGTAGGTCTTGTCTCAGGCTCTTCCTTGGCTATTGAGCGGGAACCCAGGCTCCCAGTCGCTGCCCCCCTTGGCGGCTGTGAGGGAGTATTCGTAGGGAGTTAGGACCCAGGCCCAGGGAGCGATGTCCAGAACTTCAGGCTTCGGGAGCATAGACAATGAACCGGGATAAGAGGGTCAGCCCTGGTCATGGCCCTTCCAAGTTCCCCGGGGGAAGGGGGTCAGGCTAATTAGCAGGGCTACGAAGGAGACACTTCTTCTATGCTCCCGCTCCCGCCCTCGAGTCTTGCCCGCCCTCGCAAGGTACGGATACTTACATTGCCTTCTCAATTTGCCCCCTTTGACGTAGGGGTAGGTTGTGAGTTGGGACAGATCCATCGAGGAGGACACATCCTGGGAACATGGCAGAATGGTACGGGTATCCCGTTGAAAAATGAAGAGTCCAGTTGCTGGTACAAGGTTGGAACTCATGTTGTCTGAGCTCCGGGTCCGACTCCGGCTCCAGCACTAGCTTGACCAGATGGGGTGCCTAGGTCCAGGATGCAACAGGGAGAAACTCGTCGATTTCGGGCTGCCAATGCGGGAGCGTTCATCGTGCCTCAATGGAGAGTTTTCAGACAGCACGAGCAGTGTCCGTACGTCTGGCCGGTTCTGATGTAGGATGAGATGAGATGCGAGAGGTGATCGAAAGTTGAAGGTTGGGTGGGTGGGTTGCGAGATGAATGGGTGCTGCTGGCAGGTATCCGTAGCGGCGTGGTACAGAATACCCTTCCAATTGCAACCCCAGTGTCCCCCGTCCGGCCGCAGAAACAAATGGAGGATGTGTCGTCGGGGCCGGCTCCGGGCCCCGCACAGCCGAGCTGCGAGATTGGTGGTCGATACAGGCGAGCTATCCAGGATAAATGCTGTGAGATGAAGCCCAAGACGCAAAGAAAAGAGGGGAAGGGTGGTTTGCTATTGGTGTCAAGTTTCAGATCCAAGCACACGTTGGGCCCAAGGAAAACGCTCACCTGTCAATAACAGCCACGGCTATCTGTGGGCGTTGAGAGAGATGGAGAAAGTCAACCTAGTGAATACTGCAGGATTGCAGCCCAACTGCAAGTGATGTTGGATTTGTTGCGATGCGGACCAAGATGCAACGCCGATGCCCCGAGCTTCTTCTAGGTTCTAGTATACCTAGGTCTGCTGTGGCGTGCCTCAAACCAGACGAGGCATGTACGTACTTTGCACCTGTGAGAGATGGGATATCCGCATTCGTTTGGTGAGGTAGGTGAGTACCCACGTCCCTTGACAACAAGGTAGGTAGTCCATAATCACTTGCCGTCTACGCAGTATGAATTATTCCTCCAAGTTTCGGTACCTTACCTTATGTAGTGTGGACCATGGAGTACTCCGTACCTATAGACGGGTATCGGTTCACCTCAGTTTGGGCACTATGCGCGCCGCATCTGTGCTGCCTGAGGATTGACATCCCAGCGGCCAGGCTGCAACTATCTCAGGCATCATTTGCAGCCTGCAAGTGACTAAGGGCATAAATCAAGGCACCAAGGCACAAAGGCATCAATATGTCAAAGATGCCCTGCATCCCGAAATCTCAACCCTCCTAGGCGGCGGCATCTGAAAATAAAGTCCATCGCCGGTTTCCTGCCGACAAACGCCGATTCACCAGCACGGCCCTTTACCTCTATCTAGTATCA